TCTCTCTCTCCCCCTGTGTGTGTGTGTGTGTGTGTGTGTGTGTGTGTGTGTGTGGTCTTGGGGGAGAAGAAGTCAGAGAGGCATTCGGAGACTAAGGGAAATTTGGAAAAAGAACCAGACGAAAAAGAGAGGGTAGTCAAAGATATTAACTAAAATTGACACATCTTCTCTTATGGCGCCCGATGGTAGCGCCACGAGCGTAAACACAGAGTGTGATTTCTAATTTAAACTCCTAACAAAGAGGAACACTGATTAGGACCTTCAGCGTTCAGTGTGTGCGCCTGTGTCCGTGATAAGTGTAACTGTGTCTCTGTTATGTCTGTGTGTGTACGTGCATATTTTATGCCACTCAGCTTGCCGTCACATAGCCCTCTGAGTCATCAGCCATGCTGTGGTGCTGAATAAATAGGCTTTATTTATACAATTATTATTGTTATGAGAACAGATTTAGACTACAATTATTCAAGTGCTGTCCACTGAGACACAACAAAACACTGATGCAGAACTAGACAGCATACAGTATAGTGAACACCACAGATATAGATTTACCTACAGTCAAGAGAACTGACATACCTCACACTCGCTCAGAGCTCCTCCCTTTCCCTGGTTCGCCTTTGAGGGCCAACAGACCTCATTAGTGCTTGTTGGGCTTTGAAGGAGGAAAGTCACTATTCTAGCATGAATACCTACAGTGCTGTATTCAATAATGTTCTACAATACACTGACTTTCTATGCAATTAACTGGGCTGCTAATCTGGAGCATTATCAGCAGCAGAAGAATAAATGCTGCTCGTTTATCATCATGGTTTCCATAAAGACACGGAATACAATTTACATACAATTTATCAGTGTCCCTGAGTAAGTAAGTGGCTGCAAGAATATACTGATAAAATAGTGCAAAAAAGGGAAAATTAAGTGTTAGAGAGCATTAAGTGGATAGAAGCAATAACGGGATAATACTAAGCACCATTAAGTGCAGGTTGGTGTGTAAGATTGGGAGAATGAGGTTCAGTCAGCCATATAGGAAACTCATCATACATTCAGTTTTCCATATTTTCACTTTCTTACTTATCTCTAACTACTCTTCTCCTTGCTAAGTTTTCTCTTATCTGCGAGAAATGCAAACTTTCTTACTCAGTATACAGTTTCTCCCCTTCAGCCTGACACTTTGCCTCCTTGCTTCCCACTTTCTCCCCCTGCCTCCTTTATCTTTCTTCCACACTCCCTCTCTCTCTCCACATTTCTTACTCTCAGGTGTGTTTTTGTTTTGCTGTGAGCGACGTGCCGATGGAGCGTAACAGAGCGATGATACTGCCTACAGCGTGACGAGAACAGCAGTCCCATTACAACAGTGGTGATGTCTACTGCTGTTGACAGTGCACAGCCCACTGTAACATGAACACACGGACACACACGGAGCATGCACATGGATGTATACACATATTTCGACTGGTGTATCTGGGCACACACACAAAGAATTAAGTGAACAGATCCCGGATTAGACTAGAGGAATGGTTACAGGTGTACTCATGTGTGTTTCCCTCCTGGGTGGAGCCGACCTTTTATATGCCTCCTTCTTCAAACTCTCATGCAGGGATGTGACCTGTTTTCTCTGCCTACAGAGAAACCGCTAGCTTTCTTTAACACTGGTCATGTTTACATGCATGTTAAAAATGTGATCATACTGCCACTAAGGGAAACATCTGACAGCAGCCATGCCAGAATGACTCAATAAGTTTGCAGTGAAGGCTGTGTACTACTGCAGAGAGATAGTGTTGTACTATATTATGATGATTTAACTGTCGCAGTAGAACAGGAATGACATTTCTTACCAGGTTATTACTATTGTTATTCTATTACATTCGTTTTGACAATGGTTAAATATTGGACACATGTAAATGTAGGCAGTGGATTTCATCTGTATGTAGGTATGAAGCTCAGAGTGCAGATCACTGCACCAAATCCTGAGTTGGGGCGTAATACAGATAGAATAAACCATGTATGCTCGTTGAGACTGACAACATGAGCAGGACTGGCTTGAGCTGTGTCAGCTCTGGGCTGACGGCTAAGTATTGTATATAAAAGGTCTACATACGGCACTGGACATCTACTCACCACTGCTGTCTCTCTGGCTTCTCCTGTTTCTTACTTTCATACACCACCGTCAGTCCCCAACTGGAAACAGACAGAGGAAGAGACAGAAAGACAGACAGACATTAGTCCAACTGCAGCAGTACAGTTATAAATGTCCCAGCAGCTTATGATTCTTGGGCTTGACTGCCCCCTGGTGGTCACTGGTTAAAAGTCCCCATAAGTCATTTCAGATAAGGCAAATCATTAAATGTATCTAAAATTGAAAAATTAATTATTTAACTTTAGTCATTCATTATTATTGTTAAATCATTATGATGAAGAGCAAGTAGGGTTGCAGAGTTGGCACTCAAACTGTTTTAAATGGATTAATTCTGAAGTAAGCTCAGGGGCATTGACAGAAAATGTCCATCAAAATAACATTAAAATTTAGTCTGTAAATGTATTATTTTGATAAAAATGTACTTTGGACTCTAGCATTTATTTGCCATTAACCTATGCCTGATTAAAGTATATGTGGTCCTACATATGTATAGCTCTGTACATTAAGAAACAAAAGCTAAAGGCTTAAGAGGCACTGGGTTTTTTTAAAAACTGAATTTAGATGAGTTGCTTAGTAGTGTGTTTTGATATTAACTTCTACCAGTGGTACAGATGTGTTGTATACTAAAGCAATAGAAGTGGTGTGCATATAAAATTCCCTTTCTTAAAATATTCATCAAAGGCCATTCAAATTATAGCTTCCAGCAAGAGGTGAATATTTTTAATATTCAAGAACTTTATGAGCCAAGGAAGCAGATTGGTAAATTTTATGTGCCCAGTGAAGTCTTCTTGGTAAACAATTGCAGTTCTTGCCATTCAGCGCAGCCACTTGTTGCTTTGCTGCTTAGTAGTCGTGAGATAAGATAAGAAAGTGGCTTAAGTGCTACGCTGCATGTGCTCACCATGTGGGAGGACGGAGCTTCTTCTTAATACCCAGGTAGACCTTTAGGTTTTTTGCTGGCCACTCACGTTCTGGACGGTTACTCTGATAGACAGAGAGAGATAAAAAGGTAGTTAATGAGCATGTGACGGCTTGTGAAAATACAAAAAAAAAAAAACTGTCCAGAGTAGATCCGTCAAACTTACTCTGACTTCCTTGTACATTCTGAGAGAGTTGGAATTAAGGATGAAATATCGTTCGTGGAAACTTCCAGTGGAAAGTCCCAATCCCAAGATGCTTCGCTCTTCTCTGAACTTCATCATTCCGTGTTTGGATGCATCCACTTTACTAGCTGGAGGACAGATGGAGAGATTAGTAAGAATGAAGTGATGTGGAGGACAAACAATGCAGTGAATTAGAAAGAATCATTTAGTTGGTGATTTGATTTGCGTGTTTACCCAGGTAGACGATCATTGCATCCATAGCGACATGTTTCTTAATGAGCAGATGGGAGTCAGTGCCAAAGGAGTGAAGGATGGGTAAGACTCGCTCCTGATAGTGCAGTGGACGTTCTGGGGGAAGCACAGTGACACACAGCACAACTGAAGTAACCTCACATCATTTGTTTACATGATCTAGAAGGCACAAGTTCTTGACAGCATGACTGACAGTGCACAATATTTTTAGTAGCTTCTATTTTAGCGAACAATGAAATGCAGATTCAGTTTACAATTATGTCAGTTTTATACTTATACGCCTACATACTAAACTAAAAAAAAACCTTTTCATATTGTAATACAAAAGTTATGTCTGTAGTAAACAAGTGACTGACGGAATTTGCTCCAGCTCTTCTTGTTACTCGCCCTTCATTTTCTCAGTATCATACCTCCATGCCATCAGCAGGTAGGATTTCTGGCCAGTGATGGGAAATTTGCCAAATTAGTTGAGTCTTACTGGCATTTGTTAAGCCACCTACAGACTTCCCGGTGGGGAACCAGATGGACCACATACCAGGCTCAAAACAAACCACGACACACAGTCGCAATGCCGAGAATGATCCTTTTGCCTCTGGAGTTAGTGTGTCACTTTGAGTAGGTCAGGCTGCAGGTTGAGTGGAGAGCACTTCACAAGCTTTGAGTCACTGTTTTTGTTTCGCTCTGGGCCTTGTCATGTTTCATGTTAATTTTACATGTGAACCCATGTTGCTTTCCAAACTAGAAGAGTTATATATAGAGTCTATCTACTCGGGGGGGAAAAATATATATATTTAAAAAGAAGATTGTGGAAGAACATAACAGAATAATTCAACCATATTTACAGCCAAAATCTATTAAAAACATGAATCTCTATATCAACTATTAACCCTCTTCCCTATTCCCATCTGTCTCACCCATTTCCTCCTTGTCGCTGACCTCCCAGCAGCTCCAGTACTCTTTGTCTTTAACAGGGATGTTACGCCGATCCAGAACCTCACAGGACAGCTCTGCTGCTGTCATAGAACCAGGGATCTGAGGGGAGAAGAATCACAATTACTCCAGAGTTTTTTCTCTCCTCAGCAAGGGCTAAAGTGTGGCTGCATACTAATTCAACCAAGTAGTTTTCCCCTGCAGCACCTATTGTACACCACAGAAGATAAAGTAATATTGTGTCATTTGGTGAAGTGCAGGTCACCTTGACATGTTGCTCTGCTGTGTCCTTCTTTTCCTCCAGGTACACAGTACAGATGAAGTGTCCTCCAGGTTCAGTACTCTGATGTGTCCAGTACACACGTGTACACACACACACACACACACACACACACAGAAAAGATCAGAAAGAAAAAAACAGCATTAGGATAACAAGTACCAGCATGCATACATCAGATGTCCAAATGCAATACAAGCATTTACACAAACTGCTCTATAGCGTTAAATAAAGTCTGTGTTACTCACAGGAAACTTTGTGTTGAGCTTCTCTCGCACTTGGATGATAACAGTGATCTCCTCAAGCTGCTTCTTTAGCTGCTGCTCATCCACCTGCAAACAAGTATGCACACATTCATTCACTCATATGGAAACAACTCATCAATAATCAATGGACATGAATACACCTGTCACCACTTTAATTACAGCCTCATGACAAGTTTTAGATCTCTAGCAGAAATTCCCGCCGGCATTTCATTTACTCATTGTTGCTGATAAACCAGCCAGAAACTAGAGATCATCGGTTGAGTTATTGCCACTCGTATGACACTGTACTTGTGTGTTGGGTTAACCTTTGAAGAGTACAAGTACAAGTACAAGTACATTTTGAGAATGCCTCCAGGGATTTTACTTTAAGCACTCCCTCTCTTAGTTCCTTCTACTTGACTCAAAGTTTTCTGGGAATGTTTTCTATGCATGTTTCAAGCATTGCATGGAGCTTGCAGTCACTGAAAGACGTTCTTTACCATCTCAACCTTTAAGAGCTGTGCACTGAGTTTTGCACTCTTATCATCCCCCTGTCTGACCTCAAAGATGAGCGTGTAGTGCTGTATGAGGTCCTCTATGGCACGACCCGCAGTGTAGTCCTTCCCATCATTCTGGAACAGTGTGGGACCGAACACTATGGCCAGGTTATGGAGGTTCATCTGGTTCATCTCAGAGAAACGCTGCACGCTGAAACACGTGCAGGGAAAACACATGGGCATAAACAGACATACACAGAGATGAAAGAGGACTACTGTGTGTGTGTGTGTGTG